TGTTTTTTATTTCAGCATACTACGGGGGTACAGATGTTTAGGTTACACATATTTCCTTTGCCCCACCTGAGTCAGAGCTCTGAGTGTGTCCATGCCCCAGATGGTGTGCACCACACCCATTAGGTGTGAATATACCCATGCCCTCCTCCCTACTCCCACCTGCCCAACACCCAATGAATGTTACTACTATATGTGCACATAAGTGTCGATCAATTAATACCAATTTGATGGTGAGTACATGTGGTGCTTGTTTTTCCATTCTTGTGATACTTCGCTTAGTAGAATATGTGCTCCAGCTCTATCCAGGATAATAGAAGAGGTGCTATATATCACCACTGTTTTTTGCCAACACCATTTTTTGAAGAGACTTGCCTTTCTTCATGAACTTAAGTTGATGTTATGAAGTTCGCTGTGGGCTTGTTATATATGGCCTGTACTGTGTTGAGGAACATTCCTTCTGCACTTAATCTATTGAGAGATGTTATCATGAAAGGATGTTGGATTTTGTCAAATACTTTCTCTGCATCTATTGACATTATCATATAGTTTTTGTCTCCTATCCTGTTAATGTGGTATATCATGCTTTTTGATTTGCATATGTTGGATCTGCCCTGATTCCCAGGGATAAATCATACTTGATCATGGTGAATGATCCTTTTAATGTATAGTTGAATTCAATGTGTTAGTATTTTGTTGAGGATTCTTGCATCTGTGATCATTAAGTATATTGTCCTGTAATTTTCTGGGAGTGTCCTTGTCTGGCTTTGATATCAAGGTGATGTGGACCTCGTAAAATGAGTCTGGAAGTATTCCTTCCTCTTCAATTTTTTGGAAGAGTTTGAGATGGACTAGTATTAGTTCTTCTTTAAATGGTTGGTAGAATCCGGCCATAAAGCCATCTGGTCCTGATATTTTCTTTGATGGGAGACTTCTTATAACTGATTCAATCGCCTTACTTTTATTGGTCTGGTCAGATTTTCTGTTTCTTCCTATTCAGTCTTGGTAGGTTGTATGTTTCTAGGAATTTGCCCATTTCTTCTAGGTTATCTAGACTGTTGATGTATAATTTGTTCCTAACAGTCTAGTATGATCCTTTGTTCTTCTGTGGTATCAGTTGTAATGTCTCCCCTTTCATTTCCGATTTTATTTATTTGAGTCTTCTTTCTTAAGCTGAGTTTGTCGATTTTGTTTACCTTTTTATTTTTATTTGAGTGTATTGTGGGGGTACAAGTGTTAAGGTTACATATATTGCCCATGCTCCCCTCCCCCCTCGAGTAAGAGCATCAAGTGTGTCCATCCCCCAAACATTGTACATCTTACTCGTTGTGGTTGTATATACCCATCCCCTACTCCCCCCGCCCACCCTCCCGACACCCGATAAATGTTACTCCTATATGTCCACTTAGGTGTTGATTTTGTTTATCTTTTTAAAAAATCGTTAGCCGGGTATGGTGGTGCATGCCTGTAGTCCCAGCTACCCGGGAGGCTGAGGCAGGAGGATCGCTTGAGCCCAGGAGTTTGAGGTTGCTGTGAGCTAGGCTGACGCCACGGCACTGTAGCCCAGGCAACAGAGCGAGACTCTGTCGGGGGGGGGGGGGGAAATAAATAAATAAATAATACAAATAATGTATTGACTTTTGGTTTTTCTAGTCTGTATTTTGTTTATTTCTGTTCTGATCTTTGTTATTTCCTTCCTTCTGCTAACTTTTGGCTTAGTTTGTTCTTCTTTTTCTATTTCCTTGAGGTGTAACTTTAGGTTGTTAGAGACTCATCTCTCTTTTTTTGACGTAGGCATTTATTAGTATAAAATTCTCTCTTAGAACTGGTTTTGCTGCATCCCATAAGCTTTGATATGTTGTGTTCCCATTTTCATTTGTGTCGAAGTATTTTTTAATTTCCCTTTCAATTTCTTCTCCGGCCCAATGGTTGTTCGGGAGCATGTTATTTAACTTCTATGTATTTGTGAATTTTCTGAAATTACCCCTACTAGTGACGTCAAGTTCTATACCATCGTAGCAGGAAAAGGTACTCGATACGCTTTCAGTCTTCTTAAGTTTTTAAACCTTGTTTTGTGGCCTAACATGTGATCTATTCTGGAAAGTGTTCCAGGCGTGCGCTTGAGAAGAACGTGGATTCTGTGGCTGCTGGATGGAATATTCTATATAGGTCTATTAGGTCCAACTGGTCTAAAGTGTAGTTCAGATCTGCTGTGGTCTGAGTGTGGGCGTCCCACCACAATCTATGTGTTGAAACTTCATCATGCATGTGATAAAATTAAGAAGTAGGGCCTTTGGGGGAGTGACTAAATCGTGCGGGTTTATGAATGGGGTCGGAGCACTCACGCGTGGAATTAGCACCCTTATGAAAGAGATTGGGGGGAGCACGTCTGCCCCTTTCTGCCACGTGAGGATAGAGCAACAAGATGCCATCTACGCAGAACGGGCCTCACCACACAGTGAATGAGCCGGCACCTTGACCTTGGATTTCCCAGCTTCTACGACTGTAAGAAATAAATTTCTGTTGTTTACAAATGACCCAGTGGGGGCTGGGCATGGTGGCTCACACCAGTAATCCTGGCACTCTGGGAGGCCAGGGCGGGAGCATCGCTCAAGGTCAGGAGTTCGAGACCAGCCTGAGCAAGATCAAGACCCCCGTCTATACTATGGAAAGAAATTAGCTGGACAACTAAAAACATAGATAGAAAAAAATGAGCCAGGCTTGGTGGTGCGTGCCTATAGTCCCAGCTACTCGCGAGGCTGAGGCAGGAGGATCCCTGGAGCCCAGGAGTTTGAGGTTGCTGTGAGCGAGGCTGACGCCACGGCACTCTAGCCCAGGCAACAGCGCTAGACTCTGTCTCAAACAAAAACAAAAACAAAAACAAATTGCCCAGCGTATTTTCTTAATAGCAGCCTGAGCAGACTACAACAAAGTCCAGTGTTTCCTTATTGATTTTTGGTCTGGCCGATCCGTCTGTTGAAAGTAGAGTACTGTTCGTGTGTAGCAGTCTCTCTCTCCCTTCGGGTCTCCTGAAATTTGCTTTATATATTTAGACTCGCCAGTGTTGCGTGCATATATATTTACAATTGTTCTGTCTTTTTGATGAATTGACCCTTTATCATTATGTAATGACCTTCTTGGTCTTTTCTTACAGTCTGACTTAAAGTCCATCTTAACCGATACAAGTACAGCTACCCTGCTCTCTGTTGGTTTCCATTACATGGAATACATTTTTCCATCCCTTCATTTTCAATCTGTGTGTGTGTCCTTAATGGTGAAGTGAATCTCTTACAGGCAGCATATAGGTAGGTCTTGTTTTTCTGTTTGTTTAAATCCATTCAGCCATTCTATGTCTTTTGATTGGGGAATTTAATTCATTTACATTTAAGGTCACTATTGGTAGGTGAGGACTTACTGCTGCCATCTTGTTAACTGCTTCCTGGTTGTTTTGCAGCCCTGTGTTTCCTCCTCTTCGTCTTGCTGTCCTCCTGTGTGACTGTCTGGTTTGCTGTAGCGGCGTGCCTGGATTGCGTACTCGCGGGGTGCCGTGTCACGGACACTCCACACTGCCGACTGTGTTCCCTCGAGTGCGTGCGCGGAGGCAGGGCACGGCAGCCCGCACGGCAGAGAGCGCGGACCCCAGCCTCGCTGGAAGGGCGGGAGAGGGCTCGCTGGTGCCCTTCTGGGGACTGGGCTCTCGTCTGCGGGGGCGCAGCCCTGGCAGCCCTGTGGCGGTGGCCGAGCCTGCTCCTGCTGGTGCAGCCGGAGCGCCTGCTGGGGAGGCAGTGTGGGGCCAGCCCGGCGCCTCACACGCGGCCTCGGGCCTCGGCCTCCCAGCCCGCCCCCTGTGGAATAAGGGCCTGGGAGAGCCGCGCTCACGCCCGACGGCTCTGGCATCATAGCAGCACGGGCAGAGTGCGCAGTTGCTCAGGCGACAGGAGAGCGGCCCAGCTGCCGTCCGTACAGTGGTCAGGGGTGTGTGTGTATAGTGTGTGTGTCTGTGTGTGTCTGTGTGTGGTGTGGTGCATGTGTGTGTTGTGTGTGTCGTGTGTGGTGAGTGTGGTGTGCATGTTCATGTGTGATGTGTGTGGTGTGGTGAGTGTGTGGTGTGCGCTGTGTATGTGGTGAATGTGGTGTGTGTGTGTTCATGTGTGATGTGTGTGCAGAGTGTGTGGTGTGTGTGTGGTATGTGTGGTGTGTGTGTATTTGTGGGTGATGTGTGGTGTATGTGTGGTGAGTGTGTAGTGTGTGTGTTCCTGTGATGAATGGTATATATGTGGTATGTGGTGAGTATGTGGTGTATGTGGTCATGTGTGACGTGTGTGGTATGTGTGGTGAGTGTGTGTGGTAACTGTGGTGTGTGTATGTTCATTTGTGGTATGTATGGTGTGTGTATGTTCATATGTGGAGTTGTGTGTTCATATGTGATGAGTGTGGTGTGTGTTCATCTGTGATGTGCATATGGTACATGTATGTTCATGTGTGTGGCATGTGTGTTCGTATGTGATGAGTGTGGAGTGTGTGTTCATTTGTGATGTGCATATGGTACGTGTATGTCCATGTGTGCGGTGTGTGTGTAGCGAGTGTGGTGTGCGGTGAGTGTGTGTGTGTGTGTGCATGTGAGGTGTCTCAGGTGTGCACATGCACAGCTGTGTAGATGTCCCGCAGGTGGCTGTCTGTGACCAGCACTCTCGGGCCCTGCAGCCTTTCATTTACTGCGATGTGACTGCACGTTGCACTGCAAGAATGTTACTTACAAAGAGCAGCGGTGGGAAGTGAGTCCCCATCGTACCTACCCGGTATTCCTCCCTCTTGGCTTATTCCTCACGTTAAGACAAACACGATTAACCACCTGTGTCTGCAGGGAGCGCCCCATGACCTAGTGGATGCAGTTCCGCACACGCCCGCTGGGGGCGCTGGCGGGGCGCGCTGGAGCAGGGCGGCGGCGGCAGGTGCACCTGGCAGACGGCTGGGACTCGAACCGCTTGTTCTCTCCATTCCAGCCCCAGCCCCCAAAAGGCAGAAATGCGACCACTGGACCGCGTGCCCGCCTGACACCTACGCCTACCGGCTGCTCAGCGGGGGCGGCAGGAACAACTTCGCCAAGGTCTGCTTTGAGGACGAGCTGTAAGTACGGGTTTGGAGGGGGCAGGCCGTCCTACTGGCCTACTGGCCTACTGGCCTCCCTTCCCTGCGGAGCCCCAGGGCACTCGGCCCCAGGGAGGGTCCCTGGCCCCAGCGGAGCCCCAGGGCTCCAGGTTGGGAGTGAAAGCCACGTGTCAATTGGGGAAGGACAGTGACTGTCCCTGCTGGCTGGCTGTGTCCCACGACGAACTTCTGCAGCTTCCTTGGCCAGCAGGTGGGACACACTGGGTTTGCATTTTGTACGTCACTTTGAGCCCTTCAGGGTCTGGGGAACCCCAGAATCCAGCGATTTGCTCCGCTTTGTTGTATGATCCTCACCCTCCAGGATTTCAGCAGGTGGAGTTTCTCCCTGCAGCTCACACCTGACGCCTCTTGAGTATTCCGGGAAAACCTGTATAGAAATTGGTATTATTTCTTTTTTAAATGTTTGGCGTCATTTTCCGGTGAAGCTCTCTGGGCCTGGAGTTTCCTTTGTGAGAAAGTTTTTAATTTAAAACACAGTTTATGTAATAAGTACAGGACTACTCAAGTGATCTGTTCCTTGTTGAGTGAGCCTCATTGTTTTCTGAGGGCTTCCTTGGTTTGATGCACAACCAAGCTCAGCCTTTGATCAGATAGGAAATCAGCTGTTTCTCAAGAGCCGGTTGCTTTAATGGGCTGCAATATTGAGAAGCTAATATCTGGGCGCTCTGTGTGCTCGTAGCCCCAGGGATGGTGACACTTCTCCGCACTTCTGGGACAGAGCCAAGTAATGCACGGTTTCCAAGTTTCAAATTTATGTTAGTATTTCCAATTCAAATGTAACATTTCAGGGATCTTTTCTCTGTAAAGTTCTTTGATTTTCCATTTTATCTCTTTTTCCTTATACTAAAAATCTTGGCTCCTAGTAATGCAACTACTGAGTAAAATTTAATTTTTTTTGCAATGGTTAATTAGCCTGGCATGGCGGTGTGTGCCTGTAATCCCAGCTATTCGGGAAGCTGAGGTGGGAGGATCGCTTGAGACTGGGAGTGCTATAATAGGCTGGGCAACACAGCAAGACCCTGTCTCTATAAAAAATGGAAAAAATTAGCTGGGCATGGTGGCATGAGCCTATAATCCCAGCGGCTCTAGAAGCTGAGGCAGGAGGATGTGTTGAGCTCAGGACTTTGAGCCTATAATGAGCTGTGATCGTATCACTGCACTCCAGCCTGGGCAACAGAGTGAGACCCTGTCTCGAAGAAAAAAAATTTTTTTGCAGATCTTTTGTTTTTAAAAATATTCCATTAAGGGTGTACAGAGGTACAGAGTATTATGACAAAAGTCATATGAAGTAATTATTTTCTTGTACTTGTATTACATATTTGATATAAAGTTGGATTCATTAGTTTGTTTTCAATTTTAGGTTTATTTTATGGTTTTCTTTTGATATAATTTAATTTTTGAATACATAATACATTTACATGGTTCCGAAATCCACATTAGGTGTCACAAAAAGTATTCTCAGAGAAATCTTCCCCATACCTTTCACTTTTTCTCCCCGCCTCCTTTTCTCACCTTCATTAGTTGTTTATATTAGGTTCTGATTCAGCCTTCTAGTGTTTATGGCAAAAATAAGCTATTTATATAATTAATGTATACCTATGTACGTGTTTTATATACATTTATATGTGTGAGTATACATATATGTATTACTGTGCCCACATATATGTATGAATATTCACACACACATGTTCTTTCTCACATAAAAGGTAGCGAACTCTACCCACAGTTTTGTACTTTGCTGTCTTCACTTGGCAGTCGAGATCACTCCGTATTATCAGTGCATGGAGATTTTCTTTATTCCTTTTTATTGATGCATAGTATTTTGTAGCATGAAGGTATCACGGCTTATCCAACTAGTTCTGTGCTGATCGGCATTTATGCCACAGTGAATAACCTGTGAATACATTGCTTTGTAATTAATCACAATAAGGTGAACATTTGGGTCACCACTGGCCTGGTTAAGAAATAGATTGTCACTGACACTCCACAAGCCCTCTGTGCCCCTTCCCAAACGCGGCCCCTCTTTCTTTTCTGCACAGTGGTAATACCTCTGTTTGATCTTTTATGCTCATCATTTCCTTGCTTTTCTTGAGAGTTTCACTGCCTGACATGCATTGCAAAACATTGTTATTTAATTTTGTCTATCTTGAACTTAACGCAAATGGAATCATAAACCATATACTCTTTTGTGGCAGGCTTTTTTTGCTCAGAATTATATTTGTGAAATTTATCCGTGATGTCGGATGTAGCTATTGTTTATAGATTTCCATTGTTGTGTTATATTGCATTGCATAAAATATACTACAATTTATTTATTCATTCTACTATTGGGTGACATTTGAGTCACACCCACCTTAGGGCTATTATGAATGATGGGGCTACAAATAGTGCTGTTTATATCTCTTGGGTCGCTTGTTCATGCATTTCTGTTGGATATATTTTTTTAATGGGGGTGTTTGCCTCAAATTCTTTAGACACAATAACAGGTGATAGTTATAGATAAGGTTTATTACAGAGAAAGGTACAGAGCAAAGGCCACTATCATTCTACTCATGGGAAATTCTTGCAGTTTATGTTTCTCTGAAATGTCTTTATTTCATCTATTACTGAAAGATATTTTTGCAGACTGTGTTGTCCATTATTCTGTCAACACACCCACAGAACTATTCCACTGTCTCCCAGCTTCCATTTCATCTTTTAGGAAGTCACCTGACAATCATCACTACTGTGGGAATAACTGCTAATCTCCCCTCCTGATTGCCTTTGAAACTTTTCCCCCTTATCTTTGGTTTTCAGCGTTTGTACCATGACATGTTTGTTGTTGCTTCACCTCATCTGGGTTTCGGGGAGCATCTTAAACATGTATGTCTTGACGTCCGTCACCCCATTTGACCAATTCTCTGCTGTTGTATTTTTTGCTCCATTCATTTCTTGTCTTTCTCCAAGGCTCTTAATGAAACATGTGTTAGACCTTATTACCACTATATCCTCTATAGTCTACAGATTAGTTTATATTTTCCATTTTCCTATCTGTTCTTCACTAAAGACAGAGCTATTTCTCAGTTCACTAATTCTCTCTTGTGTAGTGCCTAGTCTTCTATTAAACCCGTCAACTGGCTGATTTTAGGTTATTTTGGTTTTTGAACTTCATTTTTGTTCTTTTTCAAATCAGCGTGTTAATTTTTATGGTTTTGAGTTGTGAAATTTTTGATGTTGTCAGTAATGTTCTGGAGTATATTAAGCATGGTTATTTTAGGGTCTGAGTTGGATAACTACTGTCAGAGCCCCTGTGAGTCTGTCACTGTTACCTGCTGTTTGCTGCTGGTTCTCCTGGTCCTTGTCTACATTGGCTCCTCCTCTCATGTGCCAGGTTATAGTTGAAAGTGCACCAGATGGCACCTTTGAGAAATTGTTTTTCGTTGTTTTTTTTTTTTTTTAAATTGAGGCATGGAATGATTTCTTCTTCAGCTGAGGATGGTTCTTTGCTTCTACCAGGGGCCTGGAACCATTAGCAGAACAGGATGAACTGAATAAATTCTAAAGGTTGAGATTTTTCTGGGCCACCCAGTTGACTTAAAACTGGGCTGAGGTGTATGCAAGTTCTGGTTCTTCACTTTTAGGATTCAACCCTCCATGACCCCACTCAAGGAAGATGTGGGGGATTTGGCTTGGCTCCACCTTGGCTTCTGCTCTATGGAGTTGTCACAGGTCCTGTTCACTGGCTTAGGTGCCTTCTCTGGAATCAGCAGATGCCCCCTGGGGGAAAGTAGCTTCAGATGCTGGGCCCACCACCGGGAAATTCATTCTTCCTCCCAGATCCCGGCCTGGGAGATTCTTTACGACCCTACTAGTCTCCAGTGTATTCAAGCAGAGCTTTAGGAAAGAGTTGCCTCCTGCTTTGGGAGAGTGCATTCAGGTCTACCCAACTTTCCATTACCAGAAACAGAAGTTTCTTTTCGAGTTCTTATGGAGTGTTCTCTGCAACTGTCAGAAAGCACTGAGCCTAGACTACTCATAGGGGACTTCAGGGAAGATGTCAAGAGAAGAACACCAGAGTGCCACGCTCACTGCTCCGCAGCGTGGCAGGATGAGGCAAGCTTCCAAGTTCTTCTCGTGACGCTGACGTTGACCCCAAAGCTTGACAGAAGGCGCGTGTGCACACGCCTTCAGTGATGGTCACCATCTCCAGGAAAGCCATTTAGTCCTCCTGGTCTCAGAACACGGCCCCCTCGAATTTGACATTCCATAGTCTCCAGTTGAAAAGTGAGGATTAGGTAACCCAGTTTAAGGTACTTGTTTAAATAGAGAGACCCTATTAAAGTTAGTGGTTGGATGAAAAGGGTTGCCGAGAGTCAAGCAAAGCCGTCACCATGCTGAGGGGCAGAAGGACGGGCAGAAGACGAGGCCACCAGGCTCGCCCGAATCCACCTCTTATTGATCCACCCCTCACTGCTTCAAGTTTGTGAAATGGGGAAACAGATGCTCAGGAGGTGGGTGCAGATTTAGCGAAAGAACGTTTGTAAAAAGCCTGAGCTACGTAAATATTAGTTTCTCCTCTCCCTAGCTACTTGTCTAAATATAAAATTAAATGCAGTTTCCAGCTGCCCCGAGGGGCTGAGTTTATGGAAACTGGGGGCCTATATGCGTGGAGGGAGTATGGGGGCGACGTTCCAGGGAGCCCCGGGCAAGGCCAGGGCAGGGCGGCCAAGAGATGGTCAGTGCCAGCAGGTGAGAGCAACTCTGCCAGGTGAAGACGTTGGTAAGAAAGGGTCCCTCGACTAACACTTGGTTACATTTCAGGCTCATAGGACAAAAGACTGGAGGTGCTTCCCGAGGAATAAACATCGCCATTGTCAACTGTAAGTTATCTGATGTTTTCTATGAAACTTCTCTGAAAGCTCTGTGATCGGATTTTCAAAGATACCTTGAGTTTACAAGATTTTTGCACACCACCTAGTCTGCGTTTATATTCATGCATTTTAAAAACACATATTTGATTGTTTTTACAAGCCTTACTTTGCAGATTATTTGTGGGGCCAACAACAACAAAAAAACAGCTGCAAACCAAATGTAAATAGTCTTTATTTAAAAAAAAAAAAAAAAAAAGGAGGAGGACAGATAAGAAGGCAAGAGTTCAAACCACATGGGTGGCGCGTGGGGGCGCAGACCCGAGGTCCAGGACTGAGCCTCACCTTTGCTCCCAGGTGCCCCGTGGCTGAGCAGAGGGTGACACCACAGGCTGATTCGTCCTTTGTGTGATAAAAAGCCACTAGACCCTCAAGGGAAACAAAACAGGGCCTTCCTCTTAGGCCCGGAAAAATCTTCTGCCACAATTGCCACTGACGTTTCTGGAGAGCAAGGAGCGTAGGGCAGATGGAGGAAGAGAGTTTGAAACAGCTTCCCTGTGAACGAGCCGATAACAGAGTCCCTGGAGAGCAGGGCTGGGGGGGAGGAGACGGCGCTCCTGTCTGCCGGCCGTGCGGGGGTCTGATGCGTGGGGTGGACAGGGCTGAGACGGGGCCTTCGTTGCTTCAGTGGGAAGAGGCGGGAGCTTGGGGTGGGGAGAAGGTTCCATCAGATCTCACCCAAAGCTTCCAGGAAGGACGTTCTGAGGCAGCTCCGTGGCGCTGTCCTGACCTGTACTGGGACATTGGGGGAGGGGGGGAGGGGACAGCGCCCTCTGCAGGCCGGGCCACCGTAGCGGTGGCGTTTCCTGGAGAGACACGGCCAAGCCAGAAGCTGTTCCCAAGCTCTTGTGCCACAAACGTGCCCTGCGGTCTGTGAACTCTCTTTTAAAAAACTTCCTCTTTTACTTTCAGATGTAACTGGGAAAGTGATAGCCACGCAGTGTTTTGATATGTATGAAGGTGGTAAGAAAATTCTTTTCCTGGTAAAATTTACACACAAAGTTAAGATTAAAACACACAGACACAAATATCAGTCATTTTTATTTTGTCTCCTAAAAAATACTGCCAGCAAGCAGGTCACGGGATTATTCTAGCCTGGTCTTGCCTAAATCCTCTTAGGCTGCGATCGAGTCACATAATAAAGTTGGAAGGCATTATCTGGAAACGTTTTTCCTTTGATTGCACTTTTCCTTAGACTCCCTCTTTTGCACCTTCACGGGATAATGAGAAAGAAAAGCTTTTTTGTCTACGACAAATACAGTAAAATAACGCGGTGGACAGCCAGCCCCGAATCCCACCAGCACCCCTGAGGTGTCACAGTTACCCTTGGTGGCTCCGGGTGCCCTGCCGGGCCAGGGCAAGCCCCCCTGGAATGCATGGCACCCAGTCTCCTTGGATTGCTCCTCCTTTCTGGGCACTGAATGTCGACCTCAGTTTCTGGGCAGGAGATACCAGCCCCTCTTATTTTTAGTGAACACTGAGGTTTTAAAAGCAAACCTTTATGAAGACAGGGGGGAAGAGGAACAAAAAGTGTGTGCGGCCACCCGGTGAGAACTGTGCCCTCGTACCCCGCAGTCAACCCGAGCAGAACTGTAGACAGTGAGCTGCAGGGGTGAGTGACGGGGCTTGAGAGCAGCCTTTCTTTTCTCCCTGTGAGGCACAGGGGAGTCTCCTGGCAGGGGCTCTCCCATGCCTGGCTTGCTCTGTGCTGCTCAGGTTTAGGGGCCGGGGCGTCTCTGCCCCGGGCAGGTGCCGGCGTGGGCCCGAGGCTGCTCTGCCCCGGGACAGTCCTGCTCTGGGCGGGGCTCTGCGGCAGTGACCGTGCAGAGCGCCCACCTGTGCCGCACACGTTGCTGGTTTCCTGTTTGGTTAATAGACTGTGTGTCATCTCATTTCCAAGGAGATTCTTTCCAGCATGAGCTCCAGTTGCCTTGCTCATAGGTCAAAAAAGATCCTTGACTCCTTTTCGCTGCAACCCCGAACACCTATTGCAAGTGTTCTGCGTGGTTCTTTTCCTTCTGTGCTGGGCGGCTCGCCCCGGAGGGTCCCCTGCTGGACCCCAGTGACCGTTCACCATTTGCATGGATGAGAGATGAGCTCTGGGAACCGGAGGGTGCAGAGTGGATGGGAAGCCGGGTGCAGAAGGAAGCCCAGCGCCCAGTTAGCAGACAAGATCCTAAACTGACTGCATTGACCCGACAGATAACTCTGGACCAATGACGAGGTTTATTCAGAGTGCCCCTCCGAAGTCCCTGCTCCTCATGGTGACCCATGATGACGGAAGCACCAGGTGGGTGTGGGTGAGTCACAGCCGAGGGCAGAGAGGCCCAGGTCCCTTGGTACCGTCCCCTGGGGCAGAACGGAAAGTCAAGGAGCAAAGTGCTTCTCTAAGGGAAAAGAATGAAAGGCCTTGACAAAACTGACTGCATTTCTTTAAAAAGAAAAAAAATCACTAGCCAGTGAAGCTGTCCATAAGTACTAGGATCTGAGGAGTATTTCCAGGTAGCAAGAGAGAGCCACAGCTGACCGTAAGCAGGATGGAAATGCTAGCCCCTCCCAGGAAAGCAAAACCGAGACTGGCACTTGCAGAACTAGGAAAGGAAACTGAGCCAACTTCTCTAGATGATGAGGAAATGAACAAAGAAACACCCATGTGTGCAGTGCTTGACTAGAAGTGGATTTGGCTCAGTGCTTCTCAAAGTGTGTTTGCAAAGTAAACCTGTCTTTACTGCTGAAAGTTTCTAAGAACCTTCCAAGTGTGTATGCGCATTGTGAATTTCCAAGACGGGGCTACCGACCACAGCCTTTCCCAAATTTATCTGACCTCAGATTCCTTTCTCCACTGAGCGTCTTACCAGGCTGAAGTGCACACACTTTGAAAAACTCTGATTTAGTTCACTTAGCAAAATCTAAACTTATTTTTTTCCTCTCTGCCGGATCTTTCTTTGCTTACTCTAAACAGCACCGTTGGCAGTGGTGGTATTGCTTTACGTTTCTTTTTCTTCTTTGATGCTGACTTTTGTTGAGTGTGAGAAAGGGGCAGTTTTGACATTCACTTTTGTCTTTCAGCAACTTTTGCCCACCTTACTTTGCGGCCAGTAAAAAAGACCGCAGCAAGGACTAGAAATTATGTTGGCTGAATGTGAGGATGTCACTGAACCTCAAAACATAAGGGCCTTTCAGAATGGAGAATCAAAATTCTGTGCCCTAAATTGAGCTCTAAAAGGGATCTGGGTGTGGCCTTATGCTTACCTAGAAATTTGACATCTTTGAGCAGCACGTGTGCTTGTTAGCTGCTACCGTGGGCCGTAGGAGTGGGTGCGTCGGTTTAGAAGCCTCGGTCCAGGGACACACAGCAGAGCACCCCCCGAGCAGAGCTTCCTGACGCGAGGAGCTCTCACGCTTTCCCCTTCACCCCCCAGATTGACCGAGGATGCCAAGAAGGCCATAGAAGCTCTCGGAAGTAAGGAGATCAGGAACATGCGGTTCAGGTCGAGCTGGGTATTCCTTGCAGCGAAAGGCTTTGAACTCCCTGCAGGAATTCAGAGAGAAAAGGTGAGCGGGAGGTTTTTAAATGCCCCTTCCCACCATCGGGGAGTATGGTAAGTGCCGTGACTCAGAAAGGTTGCTGGTCGGTTACAACTCTCTGTCTCCAAACGTAAGATGTTTGTCAACCTCTTCCATTAGATCAACATTAGCTCTAGACTGAAGTTTCCAACTTCTCAAGTCCCTTTCCCAGTAGGAAACTCAGCGTGGGCTGTGGGGTTGGTTTCCCACCACGCTGCGGCCAACACGGTCCGCCCCAGGCCTCTCTTTCCTTGGGCGGGAGGTTCAGCTTCCCAAGCCCCAGCCCTGTGAGTGACTAAGAGGGTGACCGGGGCTAGGGTGTGGCTACACCAGGACAGGGTGGGCACCAAGCAGACACTGCACCAGCGCAGCCTGAGTGCCGTCGTGGCGGCGGCAACATGGTGCATGCTTGATGACGGGTTCCTCCCGGCACGGTCTTTGATGAATATTTAAGGTGACGGCTACCCCAATTGCCCTGATTTGATCTTTACTCATGATGGGAATGTATCCAGTTATCACAGGTACCTGAAAAATATATGCATCTAGTATGTATCAGTAAAAATATAATATTAAGAAACATCTTAAGAGGAAATGAGACACCCAGCTCAGGTTGGAGCAGGTCAGATTCCACGAAGCGATTCTGTTTGTGTGATTTTGCCCACAGCGGACGCTGATCAAATATTGGTTGATTAGATTAGCGAGTAAGTAAAACTCTTTTCTTCCCTTTACACAGATCAACCACTCCAACGACAAGAAGAACAGGTACTCTGGCTGGCCGGCAGAGATCCAGATAGAAGGCTGCCTACCCAGAGAGCCCAGCTAGCGCCACTATGTCCCCAATAAATGTGTTTTGTATGAACAAACGCAGCTGGAATGGCCCAAGAATACTATCCCTTTCAGTCCCACAGGCAGTTTTTAACGGGTGTTTCGAGTTTGTTATAAACCAGTGAACATTTGCTAGCGGTGTCCAATCTTGGCACACCGTACGTTTATGGCGGCATTTGTAGGGCGAAGATATCGATAAGCGGGAAAACGGAGATGCACGGGAACTCTTACAGGGAATGGCGTGATTCAAGCTGGACAGGAGTGCGGGGGGAGAGCCGCTGCTACCCGCCCAGCTGTGGAGCCACGTTGCCATCGGATCTGAGTGTGACCCTGCGTGCAGCTCTGCGGAGGGAAACCTGTGTCCCGTTGTCACGGAGCACAGCCTGGTTTCCGACAGACATCTGCTAGAAGGAGGAGCTGCGGTCTGCAGGGCGCAGGCGGCCTCCTGGGTCGACCCAAGCAGAGCCTCCTGATCTTTTCCTGTGGGCCTCGAGTTCGTCCATTCCTTCATTCCCCACAGCTAGGCGCCTCCTGCCCTCCGGCCCGGGGTGCCGTGGTGAACGGACGCAGTTCCCGGTGTTGCCGGCTGTTGGGGTGGGGAGGGAGGCCCTGTACGTCTCAGGCGCTGTAGGAGACCCGGCGTCGATCCAAGACTCCACGTACCCCGCGCTCAGGGAAGCGGCGTGTCCACGATGTGTGTGATCGGGCTTAAGGAAATAAATGTGCTGGGACGAAGAGTCGCTGCCCCTTGTCCACTGCGCCCTCCTTCCCAGGCCCGGCCGTCAGAAGGCCGCGAGACTTGATGCCTGGTTACTGTCACCTCTCTCTGCCTGAGTTAGCTGATCCGTAACACAGAGGAGTTGGGGTGGATGAATGGTTTGGGAGCGTTTTTTGTCTGCAGGATATTTTAAAAATCCATGGTGGCACCTGGCACCCTGAATTTCAGCCTCCGTGCAACAAACCGCCCCGAATCTCAGTTGATTTCTCGTTCACGTTCCACGTGGGCCACAGGCAAGCCGTGGCTTGACTGTCGTCCCCTCCCTGAGAGCACGGGGCACTGCCAGCCCCAGGCCGGTCCCATGCCGCTGGCCGAGTCAGGTGCCCCCACATGTCCCCTGCCTGGTGGGGACCCTGCTAGTCGCCCCTCACACCAGCCCCGGGACGGGGTCACCACAATTAGGTCCAGTGGAGCAGGTGAGGCACCGAGAGGCCAGGGGCAAAAAGCCAGGCCACGGACGGGAGGGCGCGGCCGGACCGGAATAGCCCCCTGCCCCTCGCTCTGCTGGGGCACCCACGCCCGGTAGGAGCTCCGCTGTCTGCAGCCCCTCGCCGTGTCCTCTGTGTCATTCCCCAGGGAAACCCCCGCGTGACCTCTGTCTGGGGCTCCAGGTGGCAGAGGGCAGGAGCCGGGCATGCGCGCTTTGGTCTGGCGTCTTTGTCAGGCTGCACCTGTCGGAGCGCTCTGCCCAGCGGCCGTGGCAGAGGCTGGAGCAACTGCAGTTTTCCCTCTCAGAGAACCGGCCTCTGCGCCCCATCTGCTTAGGGGGTTCCATTTGCCCCGGGGGGCTAAGGGCTCAGCCTGTCACCAGCACCCAGTGGTGAGAGCCCTGCCCTTTAGGTTTTGCACGCATCCTTCCCGGGCCAATGGTGAGGGGTGTGCAGGACGGCTGCAGCCGTGATGGGGGCAGGTCTGAGCCGCTCCTGTGCTGTGTCCAGCTTCCCGAAGCAGCAGACGCCCCCACCACTCTGCCTGTCCCTAGTGACACAAACACTGCCGCATGCTGCCTGCTCTCCCACCAACTCCCCCTTACTGCCCTCCGAGCTCTCTGGGGTGACAGGGCTCAGGGACACTGGAGGTCACCTCCCAGTGATTTCTAAGATGGAGGTTTTTGAAAAACATTTTTAAGCTTCTAAATTTCTTCAAAAGTTACACTTGCCCTCAAGGGAAGTAAGTAAAATGAATTAGCAAAGAGGTGCTCAAGACTTTCTTTTTTTTAATTTACAATATTATTAGGGTATGAAGTATGGAATATCTGATTTCCTTAAGAACTAAGTTTGACCGTTGATATCTCTGACATTTCCCTCCGACACTTCCTGTTTGTGAGCGTGTGTGTGTACATATGAGCGTGAAAGCACATCCTCGTTCTTTCAAATGCATGTTTTGGCTTGCGATGATGATCTTTCAAAGTTTTGTTTTTTTAGAGCAATTTTGTGAAACCATGCATAAGTCGAAAGTTAGCATTATTTTCTAATGTGAGTTCCATCGTGGAATCAGTGCAGCACACACAGCTCAAAATATCATCGAAGTGTTTGGGGAGGATGTGGCTAATGACCACACAGAACGTTGGTGGCATGAGGAGTTCCGTTCTGGTGATTTTAATCTTGAAAATGAGCCACACAGGTAACCTGAGACCAAGGCGGATCATGATGAGCTGAAAGCTGTAGTGGAAGCGAGTCCATCTCCACCTACAAGAGAATTAGCAGTGAGGTTTGATGTCACTATTCCAACAATATTGGACCATTTGAAACAAATGGGTAAGGCAAAGAAGCTGGATGGACAGATGGGTTCCGCATGAATTATTAAATAAGCATCAGAAGAGAAATCGTCTCAAAGCTTGCCTGTCTTTGCTGTCACGACATAAAGGCAAACCATTTCTGCACTGTATTGTTATGTGTGATGAAAATGACAATCCCAGGCATTTGGCACAACAATGGATAAAAATTAAGTGCCGAAACACAGTCCAAAACTGAATATTCATCAAAAGAAAACCCTCATGGTGTGTGCTAGATGGTCCAGCGGTGGTATTCTCCATGACAGCTTCATGAAACCTGGTCAGTCAATTACAGCAGATGTCTACTGCAACCAGTTGGATGAAATGATGAGGATGCTTATGATTAAGCAGCTGAGATTGGCCCATAGAGACAGGCCAATCCTCTTGCAAGACAACCCTCGACCCCATGTCGTCACACAAATACACTGCCAGAACTACAGAGCCTGGACTTGGAAACTCTCTCTGTCATCCACTGTGTTCACCAGACCTTGTGCCAACTGGCCACCACTTCTCCCAGGCTTTGGACCACTTCATGCAATAAAAAATATTCAATCCTCGACAAGCTGTGCAAACACCTTTCATGGCTGCATCGACACTCGCTCTCCAGGCTTCTTCGCTGCTGCATAAACAAGCTGCCGTTAAGATGGCAAACCCGTGTTGACAGTTGAGGCGCACACGTTGATTAACTGTACTGCTTCTCGTTTGACACCGCTTCCCCCCGTCCTGCAGGTGCTCTGTCCCCTCCTCGGGACCCTGTGGGCTCCTTGGGGTTTCCAGGGCTTCATGCTCAGGTGATGGGAGTGCCCGGCCCTCCTTGACTGTGGTCGCAGAGCAGGAGGCCCTGGGGACTCCGTGGTAGTGCACCTGCACGTTCGCAGGTGGAGTAGCTGAGGACCGCCCGCCACGGCTGGCTCGGCGCCTCATCTCCAATGGGAAGGAAACCATCTTGGTTGCGAGGTGGGGACTCGAGGCACAGGTGCTTTGAGAAGCTGCCCATGGCCCTTCTTTGGGGAGAGGTGGCATTTGTCGGTGCGGCTCAGGTGTGAAGCTAGGCGGACAGCTCAGAGCTTTGAGACCACACACCTGGGAGGGCGCCTGGCCGCGTCGGCAGTGCCTCTGCGAGGTCCAGGACAGGAGCCGCGCGTGGCTATCTAAATGAATTCAGACGATGTGGAATCCCAAGTCCAGCTCCTCCGTCGCAGCTGCGGCGTTCCAAACGCTGAGCAGCCTCACAGACGGTGCTGGACAGCGCCCCTCGGCAGGGCCTTCCAGGGGTCTCCACTAGGGGCCCCCAGACCAGCCTGCCCCGGCAACGTGTTAGCCACACCCCAGACCTGCGGGGCCAGACTCGGGCGGTCCCAGCCCCCTGTTCCCCAGGTCTCCCGGGGTCCTGATGCGGCTGGAGTTTGAGGACCACTGTGTGAGTCATCCAGGGAGTGTGTTAATGATTCGGTTTCATTTCTGTGGCCAGCCGTTTAGTTTCATTTCTCTCCCTGTTTGTTGGTGACGGGTCCGGGGAGGGAGTGGCTCACGCCCCGCATAAAAGGGGAGCAGAGGAGGGGAAGGAGGCTGTGCGCCCGGTCCCCGTCCTGGACGTGCACAGGTAAGAGCGGAGCCCGCGCGGAGAAGCAGCTTCAGGTCTGAAATGCAGCAGGTGTGACTTTAAAAGCATTTCCTGAGTGACGTGACAATCTGCCCAGTGAACTTGGCTTGCACCAGGAGGCAGGGGCCGTGGAGATAAGTTTCCGATGCCTCCTACGGGGGGGGGAGGGGGGACGCAGGACAGGCTGTGTTGACACCGGCCACGGCAGCCTCGTGTACCCCCGGAGGGTTCCCGAGGGGAGGCAGCTGGCCTCGGGGCACAGGGTAGCCCCCAACCCCAATCTGGCCACAAAGCGGTGGCTTGCGGGGTAGCTTTGCTCAGTGTCCTACAGAATCTGGGGTGGGTGGGGAGCTTTGTGCCCCAAAGCCTGGTCTCTTGGGGCTCCAGGTGCCGCTCCTCTGGTGGTATTTGTGGTACAGTGACATGGTGTGTTGGGAAACTGGCTGTCACGTGGCAGGGCAGGGCAGGGTTGGGACCTGACTCCCAGTAGCTGCCGATTGTCCTGGTGTGGTTTCTCCCCCCATGCAGATCCCAGCCCCCGGGGCCACCTGCACGGGGCCGAGCTCCATTTCACAGCTGAGACAGGCAGGAAGGAGGCAGGGTGATACTGATGACATGTTTTTAAAACTGCTCTTTCTCATGGCATTTAGAATTTTGTCCACCGTGGTTTGATAAGGAGCAGGGCTGCAAACCACCCTTCCTTGCTCTCTGTCCTCGCTTCCACGCCTCTCCGCCTTTTCTCTCCCCGTAAGGAGCGCTCGGGGCCTCCTGACCTAGGACGCGGTCTCAACCCAGGTCTGAGCGGGGTTTGCTTTATCCTTAACCAAACTTCCAAACTTCCCTGTCGAATGTGCACTTTTGTCCTGGATTGCAAGACCCCGGGGGTGATGGCAGGCGCAGGGCAGAGAGCTCCGGAGATCCGACTCCCAGCCCCGCCGGGCCAGGACCTGGGCTTGCCTTGGTGGCCCAGCTCCTCATCTGCAGGATGGGGGGTCCCCCTGCCCTCCCCACCTCACAGGCTCTCTTGAGAATTCGGGGAGGTGATGGAAGCAAAACCCACCTGGGTGCCAGAAGGGTTGTGCCCACATGTGGGGTGTCAAGGCGTGCCTGTCACAAATGCCCCCCCTTACTTCTCACCACCTCCGCCAGCCTCCTCACCCAGCACCGCCCTTTCCACCCACCCCCTTACCCCCGCTCGGTACCCACCAGCTTTCTGCACCTTCCCCGACCAGCGACTTCCTCCGGCGGTGCCTGCAGAGAGCGACCTCTCTATGCAAAGCGCTTTGGAATTGCAAAGTGTGGCTTTGAGTGCATGCAAGGGAATCACCTCCACTGCGTAGTCTGGGAACTTTCCCCAGCCCTCGATGGAGACAGATGCAGGAATAAGGCAAAGCTTCTCCAAATCCCTCTCGCTGCCCTGGCGCCCCCTGGTGGAAGTTGGAAGGCAGGACTAGGCACAGCACGGGCACCATCAGGCTCTGGCTTCCCAGATGTGCATGGAGGGGCGGGGGCTGCCTTCCGGAACACTCCAGGAGGTAGGACCACGGGCTTCTTTTCCTACTGTTAACCCCAGTCATTACCCACCTGTGATGGGCTGAACTCTGTCCCCCCAAATTCATATGTTCAGGTCCTGGCCCCCAGACCTTCAGACTGTGACCTTATTTGGAAATAGGGTCTTTATGGAATTAGATGAGGGTGCAGTAGGGTAGGAGCCACCTAAGCCGCTGTGACGGGTGTCCTTATAAAAAAGGGGGGGCGGAGTGTGGACAGAGACACACACAGAGTCTGCTTCCTGCTTGCCACTCAGCCTGGACTGGCCTCCGCCGTTCCCCGTCCCCCGTCCCCTCGTCAGACTCACGCCCGCACGCTGCCCCAGCGCCTGCCGCCCTGCAGTGTCTGCTCTCACAGCAGGGATCCCCACACCTTCTTCATTCGGGGTGCGCTGAGCGTCTCGGGGGTTCATTCATGGCATCCCCTGCCCACGGGAAATACCAACCACTCTATTCACTGGCTAAGCCCAAATAGCTCAGTAAGAGAAGGCTGGGGGTGTCCAGTAGGTGCCTCCACGTACCCCTGGGAAATTGTGATGTCCCATCGTGCCCTGTGAGTTTGCTGGCGTACCCCAGGGTGCCTCGGGGCACAGTTGGGAACCATGGTCCGGAGGTCTTTGTCCGCCTGCATGTCATTCAAGGCTTCTCCATGGCCCAGGAAATCTCACTGGGTGGTCCAGGTGCCTTCAACAGCAGGGTGCTGTCGCCACGGACCCTGGAGGCCAGAATGAGGTCTGAACCCCTGAATTCCCCGAGTGCTCCCTCTCCAATGAGGCTGCCCGCCTCCCGCTCTCCCGCTGGTCTCCGGCCAGGTAGCCGTGGAGAATGCCGCGGGATCCAGTTTGGGGCGGTCAGGGAGGCTGGGTCAGGTTGCACGTCCTGAGCTTGTGGTGGCCGTGGCCCAGTGTCCCGACCCTCGGGACTTTCTCGTTACCTTGCGGGGTCAAGGGGGACCATGCCTGAAAGAGATGGGCGAGAGAAGACGAGACAACAAAAGGTCGTCAAGGTCGCTTTACTAGTTTTTCGTTGGTTTTATAAGCATACAGAAACAAAGAAGTAGGAGGGGCAGAGGGGGGTTAGGGTTGATCGGTCAAAAACAGTTTAGGGTCAATCAGTTACAAACATCCTAGGTTTATCAATCACAGATACGTCCTCTGGTGCCAAGCTGGGATATCTTGCGATCTTTCTCTGAACGGCCATTAAAGCACCTTCTGACAGCTCAGGGTATTTATGGGTTAAGACCCTCAAAGGCCTCGGTTCCTAACATCTCCCCTCTCTTTTATTAATATGAGGGAGATTTGTATAAGTTGGTGGAGAGCCTGTCTTAGGCTACGCGATGGGCTCC